TCCCTAAATGTTAGAGTTCTGAATTCCATGCATAAAAGACAGTTGGCACTGTAAGTGGCAGGCAAGGCCAAAGTGCAGGAGACATAGTTCCAATGGGACGAACTCCAAAACTAAGTTCACCCAAATTCCTATATGCTACCACACGTGCTACAAATCAAAGAAAAGAGGTGCCTCTATTCTAATTAGAAGACATGTCTACTTTTCCTTAATCTGTAAAAAAAAAAGTCAATTGGGAAGGAAAATATTTAACTCTCCAATGTCACATAAACAATTTCCCTTTTCATCCTGGAAACCTTATACAGCCCCCACGAAGATCAACTGCTCATTCGCCAATCCATATTTACTATGCTGCTACAGCTATTACTGGAGGAGACTCCAATTTTGTTTTAGATGCCTAGTTGTATACATTTTTCTCTCAGGACCTGCATAGCAGAACCTTAATTCAAAGCAGATGCGCCATTAAGGTGCCGAATAATATCTTGAGTGAATGGGGATTCCTTCCAGCATTAGACCCCTGGGCCTCATATAGGATCATAAATATACAACACCTTTTGATAGACAGTAAAATAACCCCATTTGACAAGCTACAAGACTAGTATGGTCTGCCACCCCACTTTAGTTTCTTATATCTTCAGATGAGTACCATAATCAGGAAGCATGTCTTACAACACAAGATGTCCAGGCAATGGTAACTATGGGACCACCCTTGTGGTTGGCCTAAGCAATCCACTGATGCTGTACAACTGTCTTATGTGAACATTGTTTGGAGGTAATCTATCCATGCCTTCTATAACCTGCATTGTGATATGCAACTATTGTCTTTCTGACATACTGTAACTTTTCTATTTTCTTGTTTCTATATATTGTTATACATACTCACTGACTACTTGTTAGCATGTCTATAACTGCTACGATATTCAATACTTGCAATACTCTAAAACTCAATAAAGTACTATTTTAAAAAATATATATTTCTAAAAATATTTTAGCATTGGAAAATGTTGCCATTATATATTTTATAATGTTGCCATTGTAAATATGAAATATTTTTTGATATTATATTTTGAAAAAAAATAATTTAAATGTTTATCCACAAATAATAAAATAAAAAAATAATTAAAAAGTTTATCGAAAAATATTAAATTCAGGTTATGGTCTTGTAATTATTTGTTCATACCTTAGATGTGACACAATGGAATATTCCACCTTGCAATTACGGTAACACTTCTCTTACTCATATTGTAAGTTATTTTCTGTTATTTTATTGGTTTAACAGCAAAAGGTAAAATTCCAGAAATAAAGAATTTATAAAAATAAAAAAGCCTGCAATATAAATGTTCTTTTTTCACATTTATAAATATTCATTATTATTGATGTTCCACTCATTAAGTATTGTGACTGTCTCAATACTTTACCCTGCATATGGAAGATGGATTTCCAGTTGTGTTTGCGAACAGGGCCGGCCTTAGGCAATTAGGCGCCCTGTGCAAAAAGTCTTCACGGCGCCCCCCCCCACCTCCCACCAAGTTGCCTGAATACAGTAACACACACAGGCACCGGGGACGTGTGTATCACGAGGCAAACAAGGCATCTGCCTTGGGCGCCACTTTGCAGGGGGCGGCAAAAAAAAGCATCCCTCCAAACCCCCAGGCAGATCCCTTGCTTGCCTCGCATCCTGGGGGGCTCAAGAGCTGACCGGCTGGCCACTTTTGAGCCCCCCCAAGGCTGGCAGCGGGCAGCGAAGGAGCATACTCACCTGAGCTCTTCCTGCTCAGCTTCCTCTGCGCCGCTTAATGAAGCCGGGAGCCAGAATATGACGTCAGTCCGGCTCCCGGCATCACTAAGCGCTGCTTACTCAGCCTGTGCGCCCCCTGCCTGCCTGCCCAGCAGCCACACTGGACTGCTGGTAAGAAATCCACTCCAGCTTTCCCAGGGAGGCTGGGTGGATTTAAAATAAATGTAAAAAATATTAGTTTGTGAGTGTTAGTGGAAATGTCTGTGTGTGTGTCTGTGAGTGTTTATTTTGAAGTGAATGCAGGGCCGGTGCAAGGATTTTTGCTGCCCTAGGCAAAAAAAAAAATTTGCCGCCCCCCCCCACCCCCCATATGCCCTGCCATATGGGCCAACGCCAGTCTTCACAAAGTGTCTTTTATCTGAAAAGACAGTGTGTTTACATTAAAAAGCCTACAGGCACAGGCTATAGACACCAGAACCACTACATTATGCTGTAGTGCTTCTGGTGACTATAGTATCCATTTAATGTGAGGTAAATTAGAGATTAGTGCCACTAATAATATATTGGATTGCCTACTTACCACCAGATGAGGACAAGAGGCTGATGATGGGCTCTGTCTGGCTCCACAGGTCTGGTGTAGAAGAGGCTCTCAGGAGACTGTTCACAACAATTAACGAACAGGAAGCAGCTCCATGTTTTAGGGCCCCTTACACAGCTCAAGGTCTGGGCCCCCGGGGCTTGACCGTGAGTATGCCTACAATGCCCACCCATAAATCCACCTACGTGGCCCACCCATGAGTTCTCTCACAGGAAGTGGAGTGCATGTGTGTAGGGGATGTTTTATGTGTTATTGTAGAAGATGCAATGTGTGTGTGTTCTTATAGAATGTAGTGTATAGGGATACCAATTTCTGTAAGGTATGTAGTGTGTTTATAGGGGATGCAGTGTGTGTTTGCGTGTAAGGAATGCATTGTATGTTTCTGTGTGTGTGTGTGTGTAAGGGGTGCAAGGTGTGTTTCTGTGTATTTAATTGAATGCAGTGTGTGTCTGTAAGGGGTGCATTGATTGTGTAAGAGATGCATTTTGTTTCTGTGTGTAAGAGAATGAGTGTTTGTGTGAACGTAAGGGATGCATTGTGTGTTTCGGGTGTGTCTGTGTGTGAGTAGGAATGCATTGTATGTTTCTGTGTGTGTGTGGGGGGGATGCATTGTGTATGTGTGTAGTGTAAAAGAGAGGGTTTGTGGGGTAGGATAGAGACTGAGAGGGGAGCTGCTCTTTATTTGTTTCATAGTGCTCTCCCCCCCTGTCAATTATTGATTTCCCCTTCCCTCCTGTCCCTCCGTGTTCTCCCCTTCTGTCCCTTAGTGCTCTCCCTTGGCCCCCTGTAGTCCCCCCTTGGTGGTCTTCTCAGTCCCCCCTTCCCCCTTAGTGGCCCTCCCTCTCCCAAACCCCTTAGTAGACATTCCCCTCCTCCCCCCACCCCCTTAGTGGTAATCCCCCCCCCAGTGGTCATTATCCTCTTTCCCCTCACCCCCCCTTAGTAGTCCTTTCCCCCCTTAGTGGTCCTCCCTCTCCCAAACCCCTTAGTGGACCCCCCCTCCTCCCTCAGTGGTCCTTACTCCCCACCCCCCGTCCCCCTGTGTTCCTTCACCCCCCCTTCCCCAGTGGTTCTTACTCCCCCTCTCCTCCCCCAGTGGTTCTTACTCCCCCCATTCTTCCCCCAGTGGTCCTTACTCCCCCCCTCCTCCCCTAGTGGTCCTTACTACCCCCATCCCTCTCCTCCCCCAGTGGTCCTTACTACCCCCATCCCTCTCCTCCCCCAGTGGTCCTTACTCGCCCCATCTCTCTCCTCCACCTGTGGCCCTTACTCCCCCCCTCTACCTTCAGTGGTCCTTACTCACCCCCTCCTTCTCCTCCCCCAGTGGTCCTTACTCCCCCTCCCCTCCACCTCTGGTCGCCTCCCCCCTCCCGGTCCTTACTCACCCTCCTGCCCTCCTGGTGGTCTTACCCTCCTCCCCTCCCCTGTGTTTCCTTACTCCCCCTTTGGTCCTTACTCCCCCTCCCCTCCACCTCTGGTCCTTACTCCCCCTCCCCCCCTGGTCCTTACTCACCCTCCTGCCCTCCCCCCGTGGTCCTTACTCACCCTCCCACCCTCCCCTGGTGGTCCTTACCCTCCCCCTCCCCCTGTGTTCCTTACTCCCCTTTGGTCCTTACTAACCCTCCCCCCCTCTCCTCCCTGGTCGCCTCACCCCCCCCTCCCTGGTGGTCCTTACTCACCCTCCCCCCCCCTCCCCTGGTGGTCCTTACTCACCTTCCCCTCCTGGTGGTCCTTACCCTCCTCCCCTTCCCTGTGTTCATAGTCACCCCTCCTCTGGTGTTCACTTGATCCCCTACCCTGGTGTTCCTTACTCACCCCCGGTGGTCGCCTTTCCTCCCCCTCCTGGTGGTCCTTACCTCCTCCCTCCCCTGTGTTCCTTACTCCCCCTCCCTGGTGTTCCTTACTCACCCCCTCCCCTGGTGTTCCTTACTCACCCCCTCCCTGGATGTCCTTACTCACCTTCCCCCCCCCTCCCCTGGGTGGTCCTTACCCGCATCCTCCCTCCCCTGTGGTTGCTTCTCCCCCTCCCTGGTGTTCCCTAACTCACCCCGGTGGTCCTTATTTCCTCCCCCCCCCTCCTGCCTATGTAGCGTGGCAAGGGCGGCGCGGAACGCGGGACAGGAACCTCTGTTTCCTGTTCCCGGCCGCTGGCAGACTGAAGGGAAGTGCTCACTGTGAGCACTTCCTGTCAGTCCGCCGGCGGCCGGGAACAGGAAACAGAGGTTCCTGTCCCGCGTTCCGCGCCGCCCGGCGCCGTCCGGCCGCCCTCCACAGCAGTGCTGCGCCGCCTGAGGCTTGTAAAAGCGCTCAGGCGGCGCAGCATGAGGAGCCGCCGGGCGCAGGGATCCGGCGCCCCCTGCTAAGGTGCGCCCTAGGCGGCTGCCTAGGTCGCCTTACAGGTGGCGCCGGCCCTGAGTGAATGTGTGTGTGTGTGTGTGTGTGTGTCTGTAAGTGTGTAATTGTGTGTGTCTGTGAGTGAATGTGTGTGTTGGTCAGTGAGTGTATGTGTCAGTCAGCGAGTGTGTATGTGTCGTCAGTGAGTGTGTATGTGTCGTCAGTGAGTGTGTATGTGTCGTCAGTGAGTGTGTATGTGTGGTCAGTGAGTGTGTATGTGTGGTCAGTGAGTGTGTGTCGGTCAGTGAGTGTGTATGGGTCAGTGAGTGTGTATGTGTCGTCAGTGAGTGTGTATGTGTGGTCAGTGAGTGTGTGTCGGTCAGTGAGTGTGTGTCGGTCAGTGAGTGTGTGTCGGTCAGTGAGTGTGTAGGTCAGTGAGTGTGTATGTGTCGGTCAGTGAGTGTGTGTCGGTCAGTGAGTGTGTGTCGGTCAGTGAGTGTGTGTCAGTCAGTGTGTATGTGTCGGTCAGTGGAGTCGTGCATCTTTCAGTGAGTGCTTGCGTCTGTCAGTGAGAGTGTGCATCTGTCAGTGTGTATCCAAGTAATAGTGTATGTGTGTATGTCATTGTTTGTCAGTGTATATGAGAGTGTGTGTCTGTCAGTGAGTGTGCGTCTGTCAGTGAGTGAGCGTCTGTCAGTCAAAGTGCGGCCTTGACAGGAAGGGGTGGGGGAAATTTAAACTCGATTACAGGCATGTACACACACACTCAGTTAAAGGCAGTCACACATACAGGCACAGGCACAAACAATGGCACAGCTACAGCGACACACACAGACAGACAGTCACATAGGCAGTCACACACACAGACAGACACACAGTAACACACACATAGACAGTTATACACACACAGGCAGGCAGTCACACAGATAGAAAGTCGCACACACAGGCAGGCAGTCACACACAGACAGATAGTTACAGACAGACACACACAGGCAGGCAGGCAGTCACATACAGGCAGTCACACACACAGACAGACAGTCACACACACAGACAGTCACACAGACAGACAGTCTCACACACACAGGCAGTCACACACACGGGCAGTCACACAGACAGTCACATACATGGGCAGTCACACAGACAGACAGTCACACACACAGACAGTCACACACAGGCAGGCAGTCACACACAGAGACAGTCACACACACACACAGAGACAGACAGTCACACACACACACACACACACACAAGGACAGGCAGTCACACAGACAGTCACATACACACACACACACAGACAGACAGTCACACAAACAGGCAAACAGTCACACACACACACTTACCTCTTTCCAGTGGATGCAGTTGGCTGATGGGAAGCATCTTTCCCTCTTCCTGTACAGCAGGGGCTTCGGGAGGTATTAGCCCCGTCTCCGCCTCTCGATAAGCCCCGCCTCCGCCGCTCGGTAAACCCCGCCCCCTCTGCCGCGATTTTTTTTTTTTTTAAAATAGACCCGGGTGGAGAATAATTAATCCTCCAGCCAGGTACCTCTTTTAGCTCCCCTGCACTCCGGCCATGAGTGAGCTGTGTCGGCCACAGGGCGCCCCCTGTTCCATGGCGCCCTGTGCGGTCGCACAGCTCGCACACCCCTAAGGCCGGCCCTGTTTGCGAATTATAAAGCAAGATATGGGACATCACAATCACACAGGAGAAAGAATACAGAAGCTGTGTGGACCCATGTATGTTAGTTTTACTATATTTCACGAACGAGGACACCCAATATCCCATCTCATCAAGCTTGCTGCCGTGATTTACCTTTTCTCCTCAGATTCCGTCAGGCTCCAAATGATGTAGTATGAACCTTAAAAATATTGCCCACAAATGCAATTACAACTAACATACTTTATGCACTTACCATTTCCCAACTTGACTACTTCAACTCACTACTCATCAGCCTTCCAAATACACACAGATTGCAAAACTTCAGTCTGTGATGAATGCTGCTGTAAGGCTCATCTTGTTGACTAACCACTAACCACTACTTCTATATCTCACTTTTTTGCTGTTAATTATATTGACATACTATAGGATCCAATTCTAGTTGCTAACATGTATTTACAAAACTCTCAATAACTCGACTCCTCACTGTTTGTACTATTTACTCAACAAATACACTGCTTTTTATTTCGCCCTCACTGTAAGCATTCTTCTTTTGACATCTGCTTGTTCTCTTACTGCCAGCTCTAATCTGCAGAATTTTTCTTTAGCTACTCTCATCTGAAGGATGTTTCCCATGTTCTTATGTAATACCTTACCCAATGCCCTCAGACTCTCCCTTAGCCTCCAACCCTTTAAAACGTCAATGAAAACACATCTCTTTAGGAAATCCTACCATCTTCCTGAGTGACAGTCCTCTCATTACAGTTATCCTCATTTGCCTCCATAATCCAGTTCACTCCTTCCTTCCACATTTTGTTTTTTCCCCCACACCTCTAGCTTATTTTGACACAGGCATATCCAACCCTTAAACTCCCCCCTCCCCTCCTCACCCCTCCAACATGCCATTATTCCTTGTTTGTCTGTAGCCTTTCTCATAAATTGTAAAGTTGTCTGAGCAGGGTATTTTTGTCTCTGTTAATATTTTTATGTCAACTATTTGTCCATTATTCCCATTAGGTGCTTGTAAAGCACAGTGGAATATGTTTGCAATATTTAAATATGAATAATGATAATAATAATCTCATTTGGCTCCTCAAAACTTTCAGACCCAGACTCATGAAGCCTTTAAACCTGCACTGCAACAAAGACGACAAAAATAGCGTAAGATGTTGGAAAGAAAATCTTTACTGTCAAGCAATGATAATCAAAATGAATGATTTGTGGTCATTTTATCAACTGGTTGTAGAAAAGAAAGCATGAGGAAGACTGTGTAATGGGGTTGGACATTATGAAACAATGTCTTGCATTTATAGGAATTGTGCATTGGATGATTATAATAAACATTTAAAAGGAATTACTGTGACTTTCATATTGCAAATACAACATAAACATCATAAGCAGAAAAGCAATGTATGAAGAATTATTATATTTCAAAACAGTAAAACAGCAACTTTCAGGTATAACACTTTCAGTATTATATACAAACTTATTTGCAATTTCTTTTATGGGGAAAATTAAGTACAATAACATTCACACTTGGCAATTGATTGGCAAAATAATCAAAAGGATTATTAACTACGCAAATAATCAGTCATATTTCACTGAACAAAGAAGCAAAATGACCTATTACTAATCAAATTGTCAAATGACCCTTAGCATGTAAACATAAATGGTGTATAGGAAATCCACACACTGCTTGAAAGAATGGGAATTTTGTTATACTTTCATATAAAATCTACCATGGCAAACTATTACCAATATATGCAATATCATTGCCTTGTCATGGCTAATATATCTACTAGACTATGTTGTAGTCCCTTGGTGTAAGCCCAGTACCATGAGCATGTGCTTGTGCCCAATTTCGAATTGTGAACAATGCAGAAATAGTTGCCCCTCTTATCAAAATTAGCATTACGTGAGGATAATATAAAGATAATGATTAAAGGTTTTCTCCAAACACCATGACCACTTCAGTGATTTGAAGGGGACATGGTGGTAGTGCTTAAAACACTGTACATATAGAGATATTTGTAATTGCGTGCTGGGACAATTTCCACCCAGAGCACATGTAGAATTGTTCTGGAATGCCTAATGTCAATTCTGTGCACTGCACACTGACAACACATGCTAAAATCTTCTCTTTTCGGGCAGAGCATGCTCTCCTCTACCACCCTCCCACTCTGTGCTCCCTCCTATCTCCTTCTGTGCATATAGGTGATTTAAATGGACACTATAGTCACCCAGACCATTTCAGCTCAATGAAGTGGTCTGGGTGCCAGGTCCCTCAGGTTTTAACCCTTCAGATGCAAACATAGCAGTTTCAGAGAAACTGCTATGTTTACATTTGGGGTTAATCCAGCCTCTAGTGGTTGTCTTCTGGACAACCACTAGAGGCGCATCTGCGACGCTGGATGCAAATTTTGAATTCATCGCGCAGAGCATACATAGAAAAGCATTGAGAAATGCTTTCCTATGGCTCCACTGACGTTGGACGGGGGAGCTGACGTTGGACGGGGAGGAGAGGTCACCAGCCCCGAGGGAGCCCGGCCCTGCATGAAAGTAAATAACTGAAGGGGGTTTAACCCCTTCAACGCCATGGGAGGGGGACCCTACGGTGGGGGCACCCTCAGGGCACTATAGTGTCAGAAAAACCGCTTTGTTTTCCTGACACTTATGTGATCATTTAGAAAAAGAAAAAAAAAACTTCCTCCATCCTAACCACTCCCTCCCATTGCATCCATCCCTCCCCTCGCCATCCCTAAGCACACACATGCACTCTGAGCTGGCAAATTCAGGTCAGGGTGCAGAAAAGCAGCAAAGGGTGCTTCGCCCACGGCTGGATTTCAGGTAAATGTCACCTTTTATTTTCAGATTTTACAACGAATTGAGAAGGGGCTCCTTCTCTACTTCAATGCTGCCAATACACCATATTTCATCAGGGTTATAGGGTTATAGTAACCATTTAAAAGGGCTTAAAATGTTAAATCTCTCCACTTGCAGGAGGGGGTTTTATGTAGAGATAAAATACTTATGTTAAGGAAAAATCTTTTTTTTTTGTGCTGTGAAATTGAAGGTTTGTATATGTTACTTTGTTTTGCCGGAGGGGAAGAAATGACAACGAGCAGATACTGAAAAAGAGACTGTCAGCTGCTGAGAAGAGTCCTGCTGAGATATCCTGCAGCATTAGCTAGTCAGCTAGTAGAGCAGTAATAGATCTTAGAAGGCTCCCTGACCTCTATATGTGAAAAATATGTGAAAAGAGAATAGCACGCACAGGGTTTTGCAAACGAAAATATTTTTTTTTTTTTTCTAGGGCAAAGTTTCAGTTTACAATTAGAACTTTCATCAGGACAAAATAAAACTCATTTAAACAGATATTTGTACCCAACAAAATAAAACAATTGTTCTCACCTCCTAGAAATTGTACATGAATGCCAAAGTTGTCACATGGCCCACCTATGCACGCATGGCACTCCCCCTCCACCAAAGCCAGCTCAGATGGCGGTGTGTTTCACTGGTATCTATGGAAACATAAACGCAGCCAGCTAGCACAGTGCTGTAGTAAAAAAACACACTGTAAACATACATTAAAAATAAAAATTTGCAACACCTTAGACTGAAACTGAAACCCACAACTTGAGCTAGTCTACACATAAAGCCCTAATTAGTCTAGTTTGAGACTATATGCACACAAGAGCACACACGAACTCTGAACACATGCAAGTTTATTTCTCTTTACTCAATACGGTCAAATCATACTTGCAAACCCAATAAATGTATATGTAAAAGGCAGAAAGGCTAAGGGTTGAATCCAAAACATGCTTTAAAAGGAGTATTTCTTATTTTTGCCTGGATGTAAAACAAGCAGGCAGGATTTTGCATTAGGCCTGACCACTAGGGGGGCACCTG